AGGTTTGGATGCGGGAGTTTTGGTTGTACCTTGTGAACACTGAAAAGCGGCAAATAAAGTTTTCTGTTCATTCATTCATTGAAGAGGTTTGACTGTACAATAAAATAAAATCACAAATATAATTTTTTTGTGTTTTGAAAGAAAGGCATGCGCCTTATGCAATAGGGCACACATGGTACACAAGTAGATACTGTACTGTATATACTCTTAGTAATCACCTGGAAATCTGTGCAAGTGCTAAGCTCCACTACATGCTTCAACAGCGTTTTCAGGTTGTTTACTGTCCTGATCAGGGCTCCAACACTATCAGGGAATTCAATATCCATATTATCCATGTGCTGTTCCATGATGTTCAAACCAGTGCCCAGAGAAACAACCAATGTTGGCCTTAAAATCCTATGTTTGGGGTTATTAGAACCTCTCAGTGCGATATTGAATTCCCATAGTTCAGTCAAGAGATCCAATGTGGGGTTATTGGCTACCAAACCACCATCACAGTACACTCCTTGAGCCCTTTTCAAAAATGAAAATACAAAAATTTGTTCATGTTTTATCAAGCTGATCAATTTGTATCCTTTTTCACTTGAAATATGTTGGAGCAGCTGCAGATGCTTGGGCTGCAAACCACATGTACTCAGAATCTGGGTCATTTGGAGGTCTGAAGTATTTTGTGTCCAGAGGATATCCCAGCATCATGTTTGGAGGTTTGTAATTCCTGAAAAGATCCAATTACAAATCCATGCATTCCTAAAACTAATACCTTGATTGAGATAAAAGAGAATCTGTTCCATTATTGCAAAAAATAAAATTCAGATTCTGACATAAGAGATGGGACTATAGGAGGGGTCATAAAACAAATACATTTTCATAGGCTTCATACATGTGGTTTCTAAAAATTTGACAATGGAAAAAATAAATGTGCTTCATACAGAAATGCAAATATATTTGGAATTTGCTGAATTGCCTTTGTTGCAGAAAACAAAACAGAGTGGAGTGTATGCTACAGAAGCAAATTAAATTAATTATGATAATCCTATGAAATGAAAATTTTCTCTGCTGCTTGCTTGCATAAAAATGAATTTTAAAAAGCTCACCTGAAAAGATGCAGCTCAGCAGGAAACCTGTCTGTCATAGTAGCTGTAATGAATACCTTCAAGTTATTAAAGTCACTCATGACTGTGTAAGGTCCAAGCATGAGCTTCAAAGTTTCTTCCAGAGGATGTGAATCATATGGTCTTGGACCAGAGAAAACCCTGTCTTTTGTATTCAAATAAACTCTCAAAATATCCCTGGCTGGCATCCCTTTTGCCACTAACAAGGCCAGAAATGCCCCTGTAGATGTTCCACAGACCCAATCAAACAGCAAATTCAGAGGGTATTTTCCAACAGCATCTTCAATGCACATCAGCATTTGCAGGGTCAGTAGACCCCTGATACCACCTCCATCCAGGCAAAGAATCTGGAATTTTAAAATACTGTATCTGGTAAATTGCATATGTTATAGTACTGTACTGTGTTCACCACCCTGTTGTCTGCAGGCAGGTGCCAGTCAGCAGAAGTTTTTTGTCAGTCTGTGGGAATTTTTTTCAGCTTAATAAATTTATCAAAAGTAGCAATGAAGTCTTTATCTTTATTTAAAATTTTGGAAGGACAATGGCACTTCAAATTATCCAACGANATGTTGGACCCATAGCCAATTAGTGCTGAACAAACATCCAGATGACCATTATGGACTGCCATGTGGAATGGAGTGTCTCCTTCAAAGTTCCTGGCCTCAAGCAAGCAACTTGCTCTCACCTGTTCATAGATACTTCTCAATATTAATCAAAAAAGTTCAACTCATTTTCAGTCCTTGGATGTATAAAGGCCAGGTTTTAATGTAGCATGGCACCAAAAATATGTTTGCATATAATGCATCAGGTTTGACATAGATTTACCAAAATATCAGCTCTCTGGGGTCCAGATGAGGCTTAAAATGCTTTGTAAATTGTAATGATCAAGATCTTCCAGCAATTTCACATATTTTTGAAAGTGTTTCATCAGCATACAAATTCTATGGTGTTCCTTTTTTAGATTGAGTTTTGACCAGGCCTCTACAACCCAAGTCAAATATACAGTATTGTGGAATATTGGTGCAATCAACCTGGTTACAACACAGTATGTTTAGAAAATAGCGTCCAGTTTTTTAGAAAATGTCATTTGAGTCTTATTGTAAACATTTTTTCCTTGTCATAACAAATGTGTTATCAGCATCCAATGTATTTGTTGTAACTAGAGTTTATACTACTGCATGATGGTATGTAGGACATGTATCAGTCTTGAAATGTTGAACCCTTGAATTGTTTTAGCAACTATATGAAATAATTTGATTGTCGCTTTTTGCAGGGGATTCATTCATAGAGAATATAAGCCAATGATGCTAACTGAGCACATTGTACTGGGAAACTCAACTTCTCTGTTCTTTTCCTTTTGAAAGAGTGTCATACTGTACAGTTGAAACTTGATAAGTCAAACCTCCCTAAGCCAAATTCCTCTGTAAGTTTAATTTTTAAAAGTCCCTGCCTGAATTCCCTTGTAATCAATGCATTAAAAACCTCCCTATCTCAAACTTGTTATCCATATAGCCTATGTAAATCTAATTTTCTGAGGCCTTTTGGTTATTATTTCCTTGAAAAATGAAAAAGAAAATCATTAAAACAGATGATTTCATGCATCTTGAAGGGAAGTGGAAGAATCATAGAGCAAATGAACCCTTGTCTTCAAATTCAGCTAGGTAACTCATTACGGAGCAAGTTCGGGCCCAGAATATCCTCAATTAGGATTTCCCACAAGTTTTTCACTGCTCCTCACAACAAAAGTGTTTGTTTCCTTAACTGGAAACCTCCAAAAATCAAAACCTACCCAAGTTTAAACCTTCCAAAGTCAAATGTTGTTCCTGGTCCCAAGAAATTTGACTTACAAAGGTTCAACTGTATGATGGTTAACGTTTTTGAACCATGCATATATAGGAAATGCCCTCCATTTTTCATGCATTGGCACTCCATTGTGATTTGTTCTAAAAAGGAATTGATCCATAAAAAGGCTAGAAAATCCATCCTCATAATTTTCCAAGTTCATAACAAACCAAAATGTTAGAAAATTGTTCAAGACAAGATCACTGTAGAGTGTACAACTGTAATACTTTCCAAAATCAAAAATTGTTCTTGGACTCCATGAAAATTTTGAGTTTATGGGTTCAAGGCTATATTTCCAAATTAATTTTTGATACCAGATCAAGTTTTTTTTCAAGATATTCATACAACTTATTTATTCAAGGTTTAGGTAAATCAGCAGACACATTTAACTCACAAGATCCAAAACAGGCATTCTGGACCTTATCCAATGCAAAGGATTCCCACCAAATTTCATCTCCACAGCATAAAATTCATCATAGTACTTGCTGCAAATGTCCTCAAATAGTTGCCCTGACAATTTAGGATCAAACCGGGACAACCTGGTGATTGCTTTGCATCCAAAGAGATCCCCAGCAGTTCTCACAGGTGGGGCAGTGTTCCTTCCCCCATACATAGCCATGTTTGGGTCAGAACCAAACCTCAACAGGTAGAACACAGTGTCCAATAACTCTGTTGGAGACAGCTTGGACACACATGCCAGATACAGTGGACTTTCTCCCCTTTGAAAAATTCACTTCATATAATGTACCAATGCACCAAATCATGGAGCAAGTAAGAATCACGTGCTTATCATTCAACATGTTGATCAATGGGGAATATTTGAATGGTCCCAAAGCCTCCATGCAATCAGTGCCCAGAGTTGCCGCAAAGTGGAAGATAGTGTTGCCAGCTTTATCTAAAATGTCAAGCCTTGCACCTTTTGCAATCAGGGCTTTGAAGCACTGGATTCTTTTCAGTTTCATGGCCAAATGTATTGGTGCATCTCCTGAATTGTCCAACTCATCCAAATGTGCCTGAAGTCTTTTGATTGAGAACAGGTGATAATAGTCCATGATGACCAAACAGTGGGCAATACTCCAGCTCAAGTCTGTCCTCAGCAAGTTCACTACACTTCGGATCTCAACTGGGGTTATCTATATAGATTATAAGACAAATGTTTTTTAACGTTTAAATTTCAGTATTCCTCAACCCATCAGGGTCTGCTGACTGGCACTGGTCCACAGAGGTTTAATGGTACTTTCCTGTTATCTCAGTACCCATTTTTCTTTGTCTTGTGAATTCAGTATTTGTTAGGTTAGGTTAGGTCAGGTTATGTTAATTGAAATATATTTGTAACTAACATAACCTGACCTAACCTAACTTAACCTAACTGCCTCCCAAAATCAGTTTAAGCAGAATGCAGAAAAATTAAATTCACAGTTTCTGGTAGGTGCACAGAAAGTAGGTACTGAGATAACAGGAAAGTACCTTAAAGTTTTTCTTGGTCCATGGGAAGTTTTCTTCAGAATATCAAATGTATGAAAAGTAGCAATGAATTCTGTTATCTTTATCTGCAATTTTGGAAAGACCATTGCATTTGAAATTATCTGATGGAAAAATAAAAGTTGGTTTTTCTCCTAGTAATACTGTACTTCAGACAAATTTTCACCTGCTGAAATAAATTATTTCAATTTTTCATTCTGAAGAACTAATCTTCATGCTCACCTTATTTATAATTTTTTAAGGCATTCCACAGAAGCTGCTCATTGGTCCTTGACTTAATTTTTGCAGAAGACAGAAACTTTTTAACTATGTGACATGAAGTCTTTGAAACAAAACTTTTTGAGTATGCAAAAATTGCATGAAACTTTGTCAGTCTGCAGAAATGTTTTTGGAAATTTGCTTTGGTCTGCAAAAGATTTCATAGAAATTTGCTGGTTTGCAGTCCCGAACAGGTTGGGTATAACCATGTAACACTGGTTAATTTAATTGAAATTTTGTCATAAGAACCTGGACAGTTTCCGTTTCAGTCAATCCCAAGGCAACAGGAACCCAAGTGTAAATCTTCTCCCAAACCATGTAGGATTTAGACCTGAGAATGACGTTGGAACTGTCCACTAGGTGCGGGAGACGGAAAAGCAACTGTGCCAAATTATGCAGGGCTTGCCATAATGACAGAGTTCGACAAAGACTTATAACGTGATTGTCCTTCATCAAGGGGAAAAAGGCAGAAGTGACGGGGATTTTTCTTTTGTAGACCAGCTCAAAGATGCTGTGAAGAGGGCCTTGGCATCTGCAAACATAAATAAATAATAGTTTTACATCCCTTTACACCTAGTACTGCTAAAAAAAATTGATTTTCTTTAAGCATCACGCACCTTGGTCCATACAATACAAATCCAGATTTTTGCAAAACGACCCTCCAATTTCTGTAGTGGGATTTTTCCACCAACAAAACTTCGTTCGAAAATTCACGCAATCCTAAATCCTTTAACGACTGCTGCGTAATGGATGCAATCAGAGGTTTTTTACATCCTTGGCAGTCTTCTCCAAGAAATACGTAGTTTGTGCCATTTCCAGGTTCTTCTGGAATTGAAAATTTCAGCTTTAAAGGTTCCATTTCTCAAAAGGATTTTTGAAGAAACAGAGATAACGAAAAAGGTTAGGGGAAGACGGTGAAGGTCACTGTACCTACATAAGCTTACAGCGACACCTAGGTATATACACCGAGGATGAATGTTTCCCACCAGCATAGATGTCACTACATACATGGAAATTCATTTTATATTGAAGCTACGAAATGTTTTGGCATCTTTGGTTAATTTTAATTTTATTCGAGGTATATTTTATTGAATTGAAAATGGCATTCTTACTTATTGCATCAACAGTCATGAAATCAGAATTTTCAAAACTTTCAAAATTGTCTCTGCTTATATTTGGAGGCTTATTGGGATCTGAACATACCTGACAAATTTTCCAGATAATGTACTGTACAGTAATGAAAATTTAAATTTATGGACTTTGAGTTTACACCTTCCATAATGCATTACTGCACCAAATTGAAAAGTTGAATAACAAATATCAATCTCTATATAATCCCAGAATGTTTCACAACAAGCTTGACTGCTGAATGCCATGATTACTCATAAGATTTGAGACATTTAGCCATTGAAAAAATCACTAGCATTATTTGAAAGGATTTTTATGGAATATAAATTAATACATGATCTATAGTTGGAGACTAAGTTTAAAATGGACCAAAATTCAGAAGCAGAATTTTTGCTCAATCTATCACAATTAGACCTTGAAAATAATATCAGACAGATATACACCACGATTTTATTTACAATCCAAGAATTGCTGGACATCACTCAATGACTGGCTCTGGTCCCATTTTTCAGTTTTCGATCAAAAACGGAGCTCTCATGTTGCTTCAATTCTTGCGTATATTTTTGAGTCGTTGGCTCAAACTTCCTTTGCAAAAAAAAATACATAACGTTACAGGCGAACAACTTGATTGACTGATTCTTCGCTGCACGTCCTTGTCAAAGAGCCATTCCTCTCCGCACGAACGTCCAGATGTGGACTCCGTTGACCGACAGGAGTGACAGCTGGCGACGGTTCGCAAGACGAATCTTCCACTCGGATACGCG